AGGGGAGGGAAATGTCACCACCACATCACCCCGCCCCCGTCCCTCCGCAGGCCAGGGGCCTTTCCTGTTGGCAACTCCCAGCAATATGGCCCAGGGAGGCCTGGCTCTCACAGAAAATTTTATTTTTATTTTTATTTATTTATTATTTTTGAGTCGGAGTCTCACTCTGTCGCCCAGGCTGGAGTGCAGTGGCACGCTCACGGCCGCTGCAGCTTCGACTTGCTGGGCTCAGGCGATCCTTCCGCATCAGCCTTCCAGGTCGCTGGAACTATAGGCGCATACTACCACACCCGGCTTATTTTTCTGACTTTATTGTAGAGACCAAGTCTCACCAAGTTGCCCAGGCTGTTCTCGAACCCCTGAGCTCAGGCAATCCTTTTGCCTCAGCATTCCAAAGTACTGGGATTACAGGCAGGAGCCATCGCACTCAGCTAGAGAATTTATTTTATGTCTAAATTGGGGTCTCTGTCGCCCAGACTGGAGTGCAGTGGCATGCTCACGGCTCACTCTGCAGCCTCAATTTCCTGAGCTCAGGTGATCCTTCCACCTCAGCCTCCAGAGTAGCTAGAACTACAGGTGTGTGCCACCATGCCTGGCTAATTTTTTTTTTAATTGTATAGACGAGGTCTTGCCAAGTTGCCCAGGCTGGTCTTGAACCTCTGGACTCAGGTAATCCTCTTGCCTCTGCCTCCCAAAGTGCTGGGATTATAGGTGTGAGTCACTATGCCCGGCCTAATTTGAGAATTTAGACCCCTCTGCCCCTGGTTGCTAGGGGAGAGGACCCCTCAGCAGCACCCTTCATCAGGGCCTAAGAAATCTGGGTCCCAGAACTGGGCCCAGACACTTTGCCATCCTCGGTACCTAGAGACCTGTTAATCTCCAACAACACTGCCCTCTACCATCTCTCCCTGGGGTTGGGATTTCCCCTCTGCCTTCCTTAGGTTGCTACAGTCAAAAGAAATTGGAAACCTTCAATGCCTAGGAAGGCATCGCCCTCTCCTCACTTGTCCCCCAAGTACAGGGCTCACCTGAAAGTCACACAAGGTGACAAAGTGTATCTCTGTGTTGACCTGCTCCAGAAGCCCTTGTATCTTGGACCCGGCCACGGTCTTGAGCCGTTCCATCCAGCGCTGGGCCAGGAACAGCCGCCAGAGGGGTCCACAGAACTCCTCCTAGGGGGAAACACCATGCTCTGGGTCTGAGGGAGGAGGGGCTGGAGGTCTAGACTCCTGGGTCTGAGGGAGGAGGGGCTGGAGGTCTGGACTCCTGGGTCTGAGGGAGGAGGGGCTGGAGGTCTGGACTCCTGGGTCTGAGGGAGGAGGGCCAGGTCAGCTATCTAACCTGGGTGAGGCCTCTTGAGTCAGTTTCCCACCTCCATCCCCGACCCCTCCCATGTGACTCACCTCCTGCAGGTTGGATGCCACGGTGACCGGGTAATCTTGAAGCATGTGGTCAGACTGCGCGAGAAAGGGGGGTAGATCTGGCTGAAAACAGGGAGACTGTGGAGACTTAGAGGTGGGAGGGAGAGAGAGAGACCCCCACTCACAGGGGCAACTCAGAAGGAGCCACAGAACCTTGGCCTCTGAGGGGCTGCATGTGAGGGTCCGAGCCTCTTACCAGATTGCGGATCTTGAAGGCAAAGTTGGAGGTGATGGGATTGTGCTCAAAGGAGCAGTTCAGGGTCCCACGGGCTTCCAAGCTCAGCAGCAGGAGCAGCAGCAGGGGGGTCTGCAGGGGAGGGGACGCTGGGAACTCTCCGCGTCCACACGCAGCCAGCCCTCTTGGCCGGGCCCCCCACCATCCTCTCCTGGCTCCTTCGCTTCCACATCCCTCACATCTTCCCCAGGTGCGTCTCCGTCTCCGCCCATTTCTCCCGGGGGCTCGGCCTCTTGGGCTTGCTGTCCAGTTCCCGGGTCCCTCTGCCCCATCTCTCTCCAGCCTCTCCATTCCTTCCTCATGGCCAGGTTCTCCCAGCTTCATCCCTCTGTCCAACCTCTGTGCTCATATCTCCTGCTTCTCTTTCAATCTTGGTCCTGTCATGTATTCAGCTCTGCCCATCTCCCCCCTCCTCAGTCCATTTCCCCCTCTTCTGTCCATCTCCCCTCTCCTCAGTCCACTCCCCTCACCATCTCCTCCACTCTGTCCATCCATCTCCCTCTCCTCTGTCCATTTCTCCCCTGTCCATCTCCCCATCATCTCCCCTCCTCCTTTCATCTCCCTCCTTGGCTCATCTCCCCATCCATCGCCCCCTCCTCTGTCCAGCTCCTCCCTCTTTTGTCCATTTCCCTCTCCTCTGTCCATCTCCCCTCTCCGTCCATCGCCCCCTCCCCTGTCCATCTCCCCCACCTCAGTCCACCTCCCTGCTTCTTGGTCCACCTCCCCCTTCCTCAGTGCACCTCCCCCTACTTGGTCCACCCCCCCCATC